CATTAAGTACGAAGAGTGGCATGGAAAGTTTAAGCAAATATTTGAAAAGATCTGTCTGGAAAATCGCCTACAAGTACTAAAAATAAGTGGCTGGAAAAATCATTATTAAAAAGAATCTTTGAAAATATTGTTCTTAATTATATAAAATGGTAGATAGTAAAAGACTTACTGTTCAGCAAAAAGAAACAATATTATAAATGTATACTTTGCGTGGTTATTGGCAACAGTAAATCTCTGCGGACGAATTTTGCTGATTTGTTCAAAATAAAGTTAAGCGAATTTCAATCGGATCAGTGATGTATGAGAAAGTTATTGCCAAAATGGGCTCTGTATTAATCATAATATGTACTTATCTGTTTATAGCTACTTATCAAAGCCGAAAAATGTCTTCAGAAAAATATAAACTGTCCGAAATAGAAGGCGGCTTCTTTACAGTGCCGAAATTTCATTCTTTAGCGCATTGTGTAGTTGCTGATCTTGGTATAGCAGCAAAATTTAAGTCAAGTTGACGCACATCGTGCACAGAAGATTGCAACTGCTGGGGTTGCTGTTCTCAAAGACGATCAACGCTTTATTGATAATTTAGTCACTAAAGACGAAAGTTGGCAAAAACCTACATATGATAATCTCAGATCATCTTTGAAAGCAATGCAACAACATACGGTAAAAAGGTTTTCTAAATTTTCTCAATTAACAATAAATTCATGACTTTTGTTACAGTTTTCCAATAGTGTTCAACAATTAGCTATACCGCGCACTGGTTGCGGTATTGACGGTCGTGAATGGGATAAAGTCCGCGCTGATATAAATGAGGTTTTTTCAATGTTGATGTTGACATTGCTGTTTATAATTTCGTACCAAAATAGTTGTGAATGTTTACAACGTTAATACAAAATCGAACAAATTTGTATACATTGGGAAAAATATTTTTTCGAAAGCTGAATCAGTTATGCCGATTAAGCAGCAATAATGTCTTCATTTTTATTTATTTATTTATTTCACTTATACAAGCAACTCAACTAAAACAAATTGGCAGTCGAGTTCAATTGACTCTTAAAGTAAATCTTAAATTAATTAATATTAAAATTTAGTATAAGTACAATAAAACAAATAAGAAGGAAAAAAAAGAAAAAAAGCATGTACACAACCAGCATAGAGCTACACCCACAAATCTTACAGGACCAAATTGCAAGTGAACCCCTAAGCCGTCGCAAACATGCATAAGCTGGGCAACTGATACTAGTTAACAACAATTCATTTTGGGCTCATAATGACTTTTTAAGGTTAAAAGTTAGATCAAGTACGACGTAGGTAAATCGCGCGTATTAAGCAATGTTGCTGTAATGGACTTTAAAGAGTCTGTTAATTGGAATAAGTGATAGACGTCATTTAGGTTCTTGCAAACAACTCTGAGCGGGTTAAACAGTTCGTAATTATATTTGCATTGACTTAGCTTTATCAAGACAAAGTGCCTAGAGAAGCGGTTAGGGACATTAAAGCCAATCTCACGAAGTAATGCGGGCGAGTCAATTGTATCATTTATTAATTTGATTACGAAGGAAATCTAAGAACAAATCACGTTTCTTCAGTGACGGTAAGGATAACAGAAGCAACCTATTTTCATAGGGTGGAAGAGGGGCAATCGGGTCCCAACCCGAATTCGTAATTACAATAAATTCATGACTTTTGTTACAGTTTTCCAATAGTGTTCAACAATTAGCAATACCGCGCACTGGTTGCGGTATTGACGGTCGTGAATGGGATAAAGTCCGCGCTGATATAAATGAGGTTTTTTCAATGATGATGTTGACATTGCTGTTTATAATTTCGTACCAAAATAGTTGTGAATGTTTACAACGTTAATACAAAATCGAACAAATTTGTATACATTGGGAAAAATATTTTTTCGAAAGCTGAATCAGTTATGCCGATTAAGCAGCAATAATGTCTTCATTTTCATTTATTTATTTATTTCACTTATACAAGCAACTCAACTAAAACAAACAAATTGGCAGTCGAGTTCAATTGGCTCTTAAAGTAAATCTTAAATTAATTAATATTAAAACTTAGTATAAGTACAATAATACAAATAAGAAGGGAAAAAAAAGAAAAAAGTATGTACATAACTAGCATAGAGCCACACCCACAACCCTTACAGGACCAAATTGCAAGTG